CCTTGGGCAAGACACTTAACCCCACTTTGCCCAAAGCCCCCACTGAAAGATCAAGGCTATGCTCACAGTCAGAGAGCAGCCGTCCTCCTGTGGACTCACCACCTGCAGAGGATCAGTGAGGGGCTGGTGCTATGAGACTTGGGTGGCATCTCTGACTGCCACCCCCCTGACCCAGAAATGGATTAAAGGGTAGAAAATGGATGGATGGATGGATATATATATATATATATATATATATATATATATATATATATATATATATATATATATATATATATATATATATATATATATATATATATACATATATACAGTATATATATATATATATAATCTCCTGTGAACTGGTATAACATTCCATAATAGGAGCATAAACATTAGGGCTGTTCCTCTTTTGGTCAATTAATTGGTGATATTAGATAACCTTTAATTGTCCCATTAGGGGAATGTAAATTCACAATTGCATACATTTCAGTACGTGGTTCCACAGAGCACAAAGTCCTTAGTCCTGCTTTGGTCTTAATCAGTGATGACTCCAATGATGGCTGAGTCGTCAGAGAACCTCTGTAAGTCTGCGTTAAAGGAGGAAGTAGATGATTGGAGAGATGATGATGTCCCTCACTCTAATGCCTGGCCTTTAGACAATCTGCGGCCTTTAGACAATCTGCGGCCGGTAGACAATCTGCAGCCTGTAGACAATCTGCGGCCGGTCTATTGAGGCGTTCACCATGGAGCGAAGATGTCCCAGGACGAGCCTCTCTAGCATCTTCATGAGGTGGAATGTACCATCGGCCTGAAGCTGCTCATAGCATCTTTATTGATAACACTTCTGCCACCTGCAAATGAAAGCCAGATTGTGTCAGACCTCTAAAACTAAGCAAGGCGGAGTCTGGTTAGTACTGATGGACATCCTCTGGGCATACCAGTTGCCACAGTGGGGCGGCTGCAGCTTCAAAGTGCCACTCTGTCGTTGTGTACTTAGGCAAGACACTTCACCCACATTTGCCTAGAATGAGGGACCGATTGCACAGACTGGTTCCCTTACTCATGCCCCACGGCAGCTGTGGGTACAGTAGCACTTTATCTCTACTGCTTGTCCAAAAAGCGCTATATCAAACTAATTCATTATAATTAACTTTTTTTTTGTCCACTAATTATTGTATTTATATTATGAGGATTGCTAAGAATAAAAAAGTTACATAAATCATAAGAACATTTTAGTAATGACTTTATGTTTTATACATTCAGCTTTGTGGTCAGAAAACTGTCCTTAGTTCTGCTTCTAAGGTTTAATATCTGTCTGACGCTATGTCTGTCTTCATTCTTTCTTCACAGTGCTCTGTTTGGTTTCAATTATAGAAGCCATACTCTGCTACATGACACTGATTGAGCTTACATCGCTTTATAAGAATGTACCACATGTTGGCCTAAAGACTCTGGGGATCAAGACAAACTTAAAAAAAAATCACATTTGTTTTATGCTTTAAATACTTTCACATGAACCTTCCTTGCTACTGAAATATTTTTATCCCTCAACTCATATACGTTGTTAATACTTGCTGTCAATCTCTTGTTGGCTTCACTTTAGCTGGAGCATGGGAAAATTATATGCTTCCTGAGTTGGAATGTACCTGCGAGCGGACTCAATTAAAAAAAATCTCAAGATACGGCTTTTATGTTTGCTGGAATCTAGTTTGTACTTGTGAATATCGGCATTCTATTATACAACCTACTTCAAATTATGTTTTAATAGGGTCTATAAATTACTGGTTAACAAACATCACAAAGTCTGACTTCTGAAGTTTTGAGTGCCTTGAAGCAGACATTTTTAATAATACCGCACTTTTTCTCTGGAATGCATCAGATTGTTTTATAGTATTCTGTTATTTTCGGGTGTTATCAGTTCATTTTATTGTGTAGCCATAGTAGCCCTGGGGCAGATTAACAAAACTGGAGCTACCAAATCATGCAGGTGGGGGCTGTGGAAGGTTTTAGCTTTAATTCCTGGCCCGGGAGTTTTTATATAGATGTTTTCTATCCATTGATTGATTGGTGGGTTCCCTCTGTGTGCTCCAGTTTCCCCGACCATACAAAACATGCACCATAACTAAAATCCTCTCGCTCAGGCATCCTGACTGTTCATGACACATTGTAATGCTTATCATAGGCCATTTTAAAGTGAAAGAAAGTGGACAATTGAAATTATAGTAATGACAAGTCATTTTTGGGTAAACATGTTTGCACTTTGTTCTTCTTTGACCATGCTGACTTTTACAACTGGTGTGTTTCACATGCTGTGAGCCAGGACCAAAGCAAAAATAACGCCTGTTTAAGTCTCAGTATAAAGAGTCTAGTTGAATAAAAACACATACTGTCTGTTTTATAGATCCAATGTTTAAATAACATAAACACACTGTATATATTTTTTATTACATGTGAAGCCTGATAGAAAGGAAAACTCTTTTGATCTTACTTTAAAGCTCTGTGCTCTTTATAATGCTGCTGCTGCTATTGTGGTGCTGTTGTCGACCACACAGAGACCCCGCCTCTATTTAATAAACTCCTTCAGCGCACACCCACTCACCAGTGTCAGTCTGCAGAAGACATTAGTGCAAACAGCGCCAGATATGAGGCACATTTTGAGGGCCTTTACTCCAAAATGTGTGCAGAAACATACTTGATAATATTGCTGAGAAATAAAATAAGCATTGACTCTTGAAATAGTTGTTTATTGTACTCTATGAACTGTACTGAACTTTTGAAATAGAAATGTTTTTGAATAGTATATTAAGTTGCTAACCATCTTGGTATGATTAGCTTTTATTTAATGCATTCCAATCTCTTTGGTATTGCACTTACCCAATTGGACCCCATATTCATCTTTTTTTTTCAATGACCCTTTGGTATCCAGGTCTGTGGATGTTTTTACAGCTGTGGAAGCCTGAAATCTGCAAAGCCAGTCTGACAGTTATTGATTGTGTTCCTGCGCTTCACATTATGTATGAAAAGATCTTCAATAAATCATTTTGGGGAGGATCATTGGGTATTATTTTATTAATGAAGAGTGAATACTGTTACGGGTGTCCTCATGTTCTCCACTAAGGCATTTACAACAGAAAATATGTAATAGTTTGAATGGCTTCATAGTCTGGTTTCCTGACGTTATATCTATGGAGTGATAATCTAATCCTGGATACTATATACTTTTATAAAAAAATTGGAATGTAGGAATTGGTGCATTTTTATTAGAAATATTGTCTTTTTGTACATGCCTTGTTGGTCAGTACTTTAAAACTAAAGTAAAATAACCCTTTTCTTCTTTGTGTTGGCTCATTAATGCAATCCAAACCCTCGTACCAGACGTTTCCGAGTTAGAGATTGTGTAATCATGTTTTCAAGCCTCCCCCCTTCCCTATTCGTCTGAAGTTTAGTCAATGTCTGGATCTACATTCGGCCTACAGTGGATGGTGACCAGTGGAAATGGGAGATGTTATGTCATGGAGGAAGTCTGAAGATTTTGCGTGGGCGGTACTTTGGTTTTGGGACTATTTTCTGGTAAAGCCTCCGTCTAAATCTCTGGTATGTGCAGCACTTGTAGTGGTTTTTGGCTGGTGTAGAAGAAGAATCTTCATATGAGTCATTTAGGTGTGCCCGCTCTGACTTATTTTGGCTTTTTACTATGACTAAGGATGTCCCTGCTGCGATTACCATGATGTAGTGCCCAATTATGATTCGGCCCAGACGCATCGGCTATTCATAATTACTTCCATGTGTCCCTTAGCAGCTCACACTGATGCCGATTTTGCATGAACTCTACTCTTTTAACTGAAATGTCACGAGTGTTATGATACAAAAAATACAACACAGAAGCCAATTGAGTGACGTTCTTTAAGAGATCTAAACCTTTTAAAATGATCAAGTTATTTACATTGTGTTTCGAATGTAAATTAAGTGCATGAGATGTAGTTTCAACAATTTTAATATCTTGTAGCCTTGAGCAGTTATTATTTGATTGTCAGAGATTAAATGCAAAATGTGTGATACCCCTTTTTTTGTTTATTCATCCTGAGGATTTAGCATAATTCACTTTCATTCTGAACATAACAACAAATGTGGAATCAATGTGGAGCAAAACAGGACACTTTCTGGGTGTGCTTCTCTTAATACTTTGATACACTTAAATATGCCACCTTCCAAATCCTTCATAATGCATTATATTTGTCTCCTGATCCACTCTTTCCCACAGTTCCCAAAGCTTTTCCATGTGTTGCATGAAGCCGTAACATAGCTCGATGACTTTACCTGCTCCAGAGCTGCAGGGACCTGTTAGTCTGTCAGCCTGGTGAAACTTTCTCACTGCAGCAGTTCAAAGTGAATCTTTAAGGCCACAAAGACTGTCTGCCTTTATACTGTATATGTTACATACTAAATCATCTGTTATATAAGAGTCTGCACAGGAAATCATGGCAACATGAAGCAGCCAACTTCTTTATATACATATGCAACATAAAACTAGAACATTAACTGGAATTCTTTAAAGTCTAGTTTACTTTAGGAGCTGGAACCACTTTAGTGCATCTGAGGCATCTATGATGTGTGTTAAGCTATGGATCATATGCTTGCATGAGTGTCCTCAATAAAGTCTAACAAAATCTATTCATATCTATAGAATTAATTCATCATTACATTAATTAAAGTCCTCTTTTGGAAAAGGACTTGCCTTTGAGTTTGGTAGCATGAGGTCTTCTCCAGATAACAGTGGGTGCCAGATGCTTTAATACACCAGCAACACGTCTCGTAATAGTGTCAAAAATTAAAATGACCATCTCCATTTTTTTTCGAAGAGTTCATCACAAACAATCATATAAATCTGCTATGATATAGAATTGTTAGTGTCTTTGTAGGGACAATTTTGGAATGTTCTTTAAGCAGCACCACAAGTACACTAATCATCCATCATGTGTATGTCTGATTGGTGTGTGCTTCTCTCCCCTCTGCAGTGGTCTGTCCTCTCACTTGTTTGAATGGAGGCGTGTGCAGTTCGAGGAAGCACTGCCTCTGTCCCCCTGGCTTCACAGGACGTCTCTGCCAGTTCCCTCTCCAGCAAACGCATCATGCCCAGGCGGCGCGGGGCAATAAGCAGCCGGTCTACCCCACATCACTGAAACCAGACAGTCAGAAATATGGGGACGAGGCGGTTATTGGGAGGACACAAATGACACAAACACATTCAGTATTTACTCTGCCCATCGCACCAGCCGGACACCCCTCATCTGAAGGTACATGTTTATACAGGACACGTGATGCTGATGAACGACTCTTATAGCCGTTTTTGCCACATGCACCATCACCTAATTTTTGGTTTAAATCAGTGATTCTCAGCTGGTGGGACTAGGGAAAAAATATTTACACTACACTGCTAAACAGTAATATTGAACTTAAAAAAAAAAAAAACTTTGACAGTGGGTCCCAGCACCACTCCAGCTGAGAATTACTGGTTTTAGTGATTTCTGAATGTTAATTTAATCTTAATTTGTCATTCTTCAGAATTATTATTTGCAAAAACTGTCTAGCTTGGCAGATGTAATGGTGTATATTTATGGTATATCTGGACCATGACTGTCACCCCCTGCAGGTGTTCCCCAATCCACTGTCACTTTGTCTCTTTTAGCCCAGAGCCTCATCCTGCTAATATGTACAATAATATCATCATTGTGAATATTTGAATCCACAGAGCTAATTTACTAATTACTTCAATAATCTTGCTCTAGAACGTATTTCCAATTTATCTATAGATCGTATATATTTCTTTGTACTAGATTATGTGTGTTTAAACCTATATTTTTATGCTTTTTATTTTTTTATATTAAGTCTTGTTATGCTATACTATTAACTTTCCTACTATCGTTTAGGGTGGGTCAGATTTAGCAACCCTTGATGCAACCTTTGAACACCCACTACGAGTATAAATCCTGTATTTATCCCTAACCCCCAACCCTAACCCATAGTGAGTGCTCTTATTCTTGATCTTAAAAATCCTAAATCGTAATTTAGGCTTTACCTAATTCAAATATTGATATTTTATTTAATTTTGTTATTTTATGTTTTATAGTAAAACAATGTACATGATTATTACAGTTGTTAACTCGGTATTCATCAGAAGATGCTACTCTAAGCAATTTTTTTCTCACAATTTTCTTAAATATTGTCAATAGTGTCAATATATGCTTTGTAACTATAAATGTAATTTTAGTTCAGATAAATTTCCGGGTTCACCACACGCCTGGGACCTCAGTCGTCATTCACCCTATGGACCAAGCAGAAACCAAGCCTCCAGTGAAGGCGAGTTCCACCAGAGAACTACCTTCAAGACACAAACCAAAGGGCCGATGTTTCCAAGAGACCACGCCCAAACAAGCTGTGAGTATCCACAATTACAAATAATTCGATAACTATTCGATAATATAACACATTTTAATTTGTGATTTGTTTCAGTGCAATAGTACACCTCTTCCTGTATTGACCAATCAGGAAGACTGCTGTGGCACCGTGGGGAACTCCTGGGGACAGAACAAGTGTTACCAGTGCCCCAAATTACCAAGTAAATTCAGATGATTTACTTTTTTAATTTTAATTTTGTGTGTGTGTGTGTGGTACAGTATAAATAATTAATAATCATTGTAAAATGATAAACTATCATGTAATAAATGCATGATTTCCTGTAGAAAAGTACAGTCTCAGCACAGTCTCATTCTGTCTAGAAAATGTTTTGATTATACTTCTGTATTCTCCCCCATCTTTGTCCCTTGTAAAAACAGAAGACCTGATCAAAGTCAGTGGTGAGATAGTAAACGTGCACGAGTGTCTGGGAAAGCAAAAACGGAAGGCATTATGGGAATTACTCAGAGGAGACAGAGGAGGAAAGGGTGGAAAATAAGCCTGTGTGTTCCTCTGAGCCTGCCCAGCTCCACTGTCATCACATTGTTGGAGATTGAATTTCACAAAAATCTTGGCCCTGTGCGTTTTTTCCACTTGCCTATTCTTCCATCCCTCAGAGGTGACTCAGACAAAGCGGTCTTTGACTAAACCTGATACTGTACGTCTGGTCAAACTTCAGGCAGCTGGCCTTCTGCCCAGAGGACCGGAGTTTTTGTCAAATTAAAACGTTTCAAGTGCCCTTAATAAAAAAGGCTTTGTTTGTATGTCCAATAACATTAACATGGGCAAAGATTTCCCAGAGTTGTCTATTAGACCTGGACCATTGAACTAACAATGCTCGTGAATCACTCCTGAGAATCACACAAATTAACTTGAAAGGAAACTAGCATGTGTAATGTTTCAATTACAATAAAACTTTTCTTTTCCTTCTAGATGCATCAGTCAAGCAAAATATTGTTGAAGAGTATGGTTCTACATGCCCACAGGGTTATAAAAGATTTAACCGCACTCACTGTCAAGGTAACATCAACAGCGCTCTGATGAACTGCACAACCAATGCAGATTACTTGAGTTGTTTTCTTGGTTTCAGACATAAACGAGTGCACATTTCAAGGCGTGTGTCAGAATGGGGACTGCCTGAACACTCTTGGCAGCTTCAAATGTTCCTGTAAAGCTGGATTTGTGCTGGAGGGGAGTGTGTGCGTGGGTCAGTATGCGTCTGTAAACATCCTATTGAACAAACAGTAGTTAACCGTGCTGTTTTTCTCCAGAGTCTCCGGCAGAGCAAGGCAAGTGCTTCTTGATGGTGTCAGAGTCCCGCGGCTGTGAGCACGCTCTTCCCAATGACCTGGCACTGGAAATCTGTTGCTGCACCGTGGGAAAGGCCTGGGGTCGCAACTGTGAGAGGTGCCCCCAAGTGGGCACAGGTGAGTGCTAATCAGGAGGAAGTATAAGAAAACATTTGATAAAATTCAGCTTGTATGTCTTTGTGGTTCTTTTCAGCTGCATTCAATAAGATCTGCCCTGCTGGGAAAGGGTATTTCATTCAAAACACTAGAGAAACCTGGGTTTATAACATGCCTATTATTAGGCCTGACAATGAAGGTCGGTGCTGTTATTCATCATTAACAATTCGTTAAGTAAAACAAGTTGCACAATTTAAAAGTGGTTTTTTTTCTGGTTTTTGTTTCAGAACATAAATGGCCGGTAAGTTTTTTTTGACCATATTTATTTTAATTTTGTATATTCATATAATATATTTTCAAACAGGAAACAATTCAGCCTACTCCAACTAGCTCCAATACTCCACGTGTCCCTGGTAAGCCTATGATTCAAAAGGCTAAGTATAGAGTCAATGTCTGTTTTTTTTATTTGTTGTTTTGTTTTGCCACTTTTGCACAGTTGTGAAACCTACTCCTCCGACCATTGTCAGACTCACTCCAGGGAATGACCCCTTCGAAACACAAACCAAAGTCTCACGTGAGTTTGTTTTAGATCACTGGAAGTAATTGTTTTATTACTTTGTTTTTCAAATGACATAAGAGAAATGTCAGTGCGCTTGCATGTTTGTGCTCTGCTATGGCCTTAAGGCTAAGTTCACATTCTGAAGATTTTATGGGAGGAGTAATCCTAACTTTTTAAAACCTGAATGAAGATAAAACTGAGGTGATTGTGTTTGGGTCCAGTGTCAATGCAAACTCCTTGTTTGTTCTGGGCCCCTTGAGTCTCACTGCCACCAACCTCGCGTTGATATGGGCCCTGATTTTTTTAACCTATGTAGCAAGTGAGGCTGGTTGTGAAGTTTTAATCATCAAACCTATTTTATCTTTTAATGATTTTGAACGTATCATACATGCATTAATACATTAACCAAAATGCATTTCAATGGCTGCAGTTAGTCCAGAACATCGTGGAATAATTTGGACCAGCTGCACCCATTTTAATTTTGTCTTCCAACACTGTTAGAGTTGTGTGGTCTGTTTTTTTTTTAGATAACTATTTCAATAATTGTATTGCTTATATTTTCCATTCATAGCTACTTTTTATTTGCTAGATGTGGGAAGGAAATGCTTTGTTTATAAAAATGTACTGTATACATACACAGAAAGTATTCGGCCACCTTGAACCTTTCAACATTTCGCCACATTTCAGGCTTCAAACATAAAGATATAAAACTTACATTTTTTGTCATGAATCAACAACAAGTGGGACACAATCGTGAAGTGGAACAAAATTTATTGGATAATTTAAACTTTTTTAACAAATAAAAAACTGAAAACATTCAAAAAAAAAGTATAAGTCAAATATTATGGAGAGGTATAGGACAATTGAATTGGACTATGCTTAATAACTCGTGTTTATGGAAGTTCATGTTTTGTGCTTCATGTTACCATAGTTGGTATATGAGAATCTGTATATTGTGTCACCTATAATTTTGATCATGTATAACATAATTTTGATTTGTTGAAGTTCAAGTTTTTGGTGCTTCATGTTACCATTGTTGGTATATGAGAAACTGTATAATTTGTCATCTTTGGACGTATTTTCACATTGTATTAGGGGTTAGGCAGTATAAGTTTCGACTTCAGCCTAAACCCTTTCGGTCAGGTATTGTTTCGCACAAGGTCCTTTATTGACACATTTTGGTTCTTTTTGTTCATTTTTTTTATTTTCTTGTTAAATGTAAATGTGAGCTCTATATCCGTGTGACCCGAGGTCGGGTGTACATATGGGCCGAAGAAAAAATAAACTAACTAACTAAACTAACTAAAAGTGGGGCGTGCAATATTATTTGGCCCCTTTACTTTCAGTACAGCAAACTCACTCCAGAAGTTCAGTGAGGATCTTTGAATGATCCAATGTTGTCCTAAATGACTGATGATGATAAATAGAATGCACCTGTGTGTAGTCAAGTCTCTGTATAAATGCACCTGCTCTTTGATAGTCTCAGGGTTCTGTTTAAAGCGCAGAGAGAACCATGAAGACAAAGGAACACACCAGGCAGGTCCGAGATACTGTTGTGGAGAAGTTTAAAGCCGGATTTGGATACAAAAAGATTTCCCAAGCTTTAAACATCTCAAGGAGCACTGTGCAAGCAATTATATTGAAATGGAAGGAGTATCAGACCACTGCAAATCTACCAAGTCCCGGCCGTCCCTCCAAACTTTCATCTCAAACATGAAGAAGACTGATCAGAGATGCAGCCAAGAGGCCCATGATCACTCTGGATGAACTGCAAATAACTACAGCTGAGGTGGGAGAGTCTGTCCATAGGACAACAATCAGTCGTGCACTGCACAAATCTGGCCTTTATGGAAGAGTGGCAAGAAGAAAGCCATTTCTCAAAGACATCCATAAAAAGTCTCGTTTAAAGTTTGCCACAAGCCACCTGGGAGACACACCAAACATGTGGAAGAAGGTGCTCTGGTCAGATGAAACCAAAATCAAACTTTTTGGCTACAATGCAAAACGATATGTTTGGCGTAAAAGCAACACAGCTCATCACCCTGAATACACCATCCCCACTGTCAAACATGGTGGTGGCAGCATCATGGTTTGGGCCTGCTTTTCTTCAGCAGGGACAGGGATGATGGCTAAAATTTATGGGAAGATGGATGGAACCGAATACAGGACCATTCTGGAAGAAAACCTGTTGGAGTCTGCAAAAGATCTGAGACTGGGACGGAGATTTATCTTCCAACAGGACAATGATCCAAAACATAAAGCCAAATCTACAATGGAATGGTTCACAAATAGACGTATCCAGGTGTTAGAATGGCCAAGTCAAAGTCCAGACCTGAATCCAATCGAGAATCTGTGGAAAGAGCTGAGGACTGCTGTTCACAAACGCTCTCCATCCAACCTCACTGAGCTCGAGCTGTTTCGCAAGGAAGAATGGGCAAGAATTCCAGTCTCTCGATGTGCAAAACTGATAGAGACGTACCCCAAGCGACTTGCAGCTGTAATTGCAGCAAAAGTTGGCGCTACAAAGTATTAGCGCAAGGGGGCCGAATAATATTGCACGCCCCACTTTTCAGTTTTTATTTGTTAAAAAAGTTTAAATTATCCAATACATTTTGTTCCACTTCACGATTGTGTTGTTGATTCTTGACAAAAAATTTTATTTTCATATCTTTATGTTTGAAGCCTGAAATGTGGCGAAATGTTAAAAGGTTCAAGGGGGCCGAATACTTTCGCAAGGCACTGTAAAGTGGATTGGATTGATATTTGCAATATACCGGGGGGCATTGAATTTATACTTCATAATTATAAAAAACATTGTTAACTGCGTAAACTTGGATAATAATTGGGTAATCAAGCATTATGATTGGTATTTGGGTGTTTACTGACTGAGCCTTTGTGAAAGCCTTATGCACAGTACAAAAGTATGTTGATATTGTTCATAATGTTTCTCAATTAACACCAGTTTTGTATGTTGCTCCTGAAGCAGACGCAGATGAGTGCAAGCTGAGCAGGAACATTTGTGGTCACGGAGAGTGTGAGAACAGCCTGAACGGCCACATCTGTCACTGTCACCCGGGCTACCATCTTAACCCTCTGAGAAACATCTGCGAGGGTACGACTGAAATCAAACCCAAAAAAAGTGACCTAAAAATGTCTTGTATCTCAAAAAAAAATTCGTATTTGTGGCAAGTATTTCTATCCCTTCGCAACCATTATGCAACTTTTGTTTTGAGGAGCTTAGGGCTAATTATGGTTGGTAAACTGAGCTGCCGCAGTGAATTTTCAGAGTGCCCCTTAAAGTGAACTTTCCCACTTTCAAAATACCCTCAATTTCCTGTCTTAAAATCCTCTGCTTACACAATGCCCTCAAAATACACAGTAAATGGCTCCACTCCAGTCTCTACAGTATTGAGGCCTGTGCAGAATTCATTCTCCTGAAATTGCCCTAAATTACAACAGCAGTCGTCTCAGAGGACTTGCAAAATTGTCAATTTACCAACAACAGAACTGTTCAAACTCAGGAAATACAATAATAACAAACACACAGGAGCGCCGCTGCCCATAAATGTTAATACCTGTCCTTAAATGTCCCAGATCATCAGAATCTCTTGCACCGGCAAGGAGCCACTAAAAACAAAAAAATTGATAATCTGCAGTGTGGTTTTTCTATAGTGAATTACCAATTATTATTAACTCTATAGGCACAAAAGTTGCATAATTAATACAAGACACATCTTCCATACATCTTATTTCTTTATTTCTTTCTGTGCACCACCTCTCCACCTTTTTGCCTGTTTCACATCACATTTCCAAAAAAAACTGCGGTACCTAAAGTGTTAACAGTATGCAAAATCATGCACGATCTTAGAGGAAAATGCCAACAGTTCATCAGGCACTACATAATTACGCTGTCTGTATTTTACATGAGTCTAGCTTATTGGCATATTAATGTAACTGTGATTTTACCAGATTTTAATGAATGTGCCTCCAAACCCTGCGGTCACGGTTATTGTATCAATGTGGAAGGAAGCTACAAATGTCACTGTCGCCAGGGTTACAAACACATGGTCCAGCACGGCCACCTCAAGTGTGTAGGTAAGTGACAAACAGCAATATCTGACTGAAAACTTGTGAGCGACAACTGTTTCATAATCCTAAATGTTCAGATGTGAATGAGTGTCTGCGACCCGACATCTGTGGAGTGGGGGGCAAATGTGTGAACGTGCTTGGCTCCTATGAATGTGAATGTCAAAGCGGCTTTAGGAGCAAGTCCCCCCGCCATCCTGCCTGTGAAGGTACTGAGAAAATACAGTGCAAATTTGCGTTTTTACGATCAATCAATAATAAATATATTATTGTCTCTGACTCAGATATAAATGAGTGTTTGAGTCCAGACACCTGTCCCACCGAACAGTGCGAGAACAGCCCAGGATCCTATGAGTGCGTGCCCTGTCTGCCGGGACATGAGGCCAAAGGGGGCATCTGTTATGGTCAGTCATGTTTTTTGTCCCAATATGAAAAATCTTTGCAGTTGAAAATAAAAAAGAATGAGATAAGTAGTCAACATTACTTTATCAAAACACTTACTATTGTATTTTTTTATGCTGATTGTGCAGCACATTGTAAACATTGATTTGGAAAAGTGATATACAGTTAAAGATGTATTATTATCATTAATACACAGATTTGCCTGCAGGTACAACTGGATTGTACCATAATTAAACCATTTTGTCAGAAATAAAAAATTTAATTGTCCATTGTCCTTCCAACATCCTTGAGAATTGTCTTGCGGTGCCTTAACTTCTCTCTTTCATTTTTTTTATGTATTATTTTGCCATTTTTAATTGATTGACTGCGGAACCTTCCGCAGTCAACCATTGGTTTTGTATTTCTTTATTCCGTCATTTTTTTTGACACGTTTCACAGCTTTCACATTTTCAACAATTTCCACAAGTTATACATCAAAACGTTCCACATGTTTGGGAGATTATTGCTATTACTTTTGGGACTTCAGCGATTTCCGGTTTTTCCGCAATCGGACAAAAATCTGCATTGAGAATTCTGCAATGCATTTTAATAGGCCCATGCATTTTAATAGGACTTCAGCTCTTTCAGACATTTCTACAGTTTCAATGATTCAACAGTTTCAATGATTCAACAGTTTCAAGGATTCAACAGTTTCAAGGATTTCAGCAGTTTCAAGATTTCAAGAGTTTCAAGGACTTCAACAGTTTCAAGGACTTCAGCAGTTTCAAGGACTTCAGCAGTTTCAAGGACTTCAGCAGTTTCAAGGACTTCAGTGTAATCATGCAACCTAATAGGGATTTTTCCATGTAAACCAGTATAATGCAACTTAATAGGGATTTTTCCATGTAAACCAGTATAATGCAACTTAATAGGGTTTTTTCATGTAAACCAGTATAATGCAACTTAATAGGGTTTTTTTTCATGTAAACCAGTATAATGCAACTTAATGGGGATTTTTCCATGTAAACCAGTATAATGCAACTTAATAGGGGTTTTTACATGTAAACCAGTATAATGCAACTTAATAGGGTTTTTCCATGTAAACCAGTATAATGCAACTTAATAGGGTTTTTTCATGTAAACCAGTATAATGCAACTTAATAGGGTTTTTTTTCATGTAAACCAGTATAATGCAACTTAATGGGGATTTTTCCATGTAAACCAGTATAATGCAACTTAATAGGGGTTTTTACATGTAAACCAGTATAATGCAACTTAATAGGGTTTTTTCCATGTAAACCAGTATAATGCAACTTAATAGGGTTTTTTCCATGTAAACCAGTATAATGCAACTTAATAGGGTTTTTTCCATGTAAACCAGTACAATGCAACTTAATAGGGATTTTTCCATGTAAACCAGTATAATGCAACTTAATAGGGTTTTTTACATGTAAACCAGTATAATGCAACTTAATGGGGATTTTTCCATGTAAACCAGTATTATGCAACTTAATAGGGATTTTTCCATGTAAACCAGTATAATGCAACTTAATAGGGTTTTTTCATGTAAACCAGTATAATGCAACTTAATAGGGTTTTTTTTCATGTAAACCAGTATAATGCAACTTAATGGGGATTTTTCCATGTAAACCAGTATAATGCAACTTAATAGGGGTTTTTACATGTAAACCAGTATAATGCAACTTAATAGGGTTTTTTCCATGTAAACCAGTATAATGCAACTTAATAGGGTTTTTTCCATGTAAACCAGTATAATGCAACTTAATAGGGTTTTTTCCATGTAAACCAGTACAATGCAACTTAATAGGGATTTTTCCATGTAAACCAGTATAATGCAACTTAATAGGGTCTTTTACATGTAAACCAGTATAATGCAACTTAATGGGGATTTTTCCATGTAAACCAGTATTATGCAACTTAATAGGGATTTTTCCATGTAAACCAGTATAATGCAACTTAATAGGGATTTTTCCTTGTAAACCAGTATAATGCAACTTAATAGGGTTTTTTTCATGTAAACCAGTATAATGCAACTTAATGGGGATTTTTCCATGTAAACCAGTATTATGCAACTTAATAGGGATTTTTCCATGTAAACCAGTATAATGCAACTTAATAGGGTTTTTACATGTAAACCAGTATAATGGAACTTAATAGGGGTTTTTACATGTAAACCAGTATAATGGAACTTAATAGGGGTTTTTACATGTAAACCAGTATAATGCAACTTAATAAGGATTTTTACATGTAAACCACTATAATGTAACCTAATAGGGGTTTTTACATGTAAACCAGTATAAAGCAACTTAATAGGGATTTGTACATGTAAACCAGTATAATGCAACCTAATAGGGATTTTTCCATGTAAACCAGTATAATGCAACTTAATAGAGATTTTTCCATGTAAACCAGTATAATGCAACTTAATAGGGATTTTTCCATGTAAACCAGTATAATGCAACCTAATAGGGATTTTTCCATGTAAACCAGTATAATGCAACCTAATAGGGATTTTTCCATGTAAACCAGTATAATGCAACCTAATAGGTTGCATTATACCACCAGACCAAGACCCAAACGAAGACTCAGACCACCACCAGATAATGACCACAGACCAGGTTTCCTTAGTTACAGGAACCAAATTGTTTCAGCGGTGAGGGGATTTTTCAGTTTCAAGGACACTTTCAATACATTCAGTAGTTTCAAGGATTTCAACTGTTTAAGAATTTAACCAGTTTCAAGGATATCAGGAGGTTCAAGGATTTCAGGAGTTTCCACACTTTCAACAGTTTCCAGGTTTAAAAAAAGTTTCAAGGATTTCAGGAGTTTCAATGTTTCAACAGTTTCAAGGATTTCAGGAGTTTAAAGGTTTCAACAATTTCAAGGACTTCAGGAGTTTCAAATATCTATCAAGTATTTTAACAGTTTCAAGGCCTTTTAAAGGATTTCAAGGATTTTTTTTAGCAGATTTCCACATTAGATCTGTTCCGCAGTCAATCGCAATGGCTTCAGCCATTGCAAGTTTCTAGTTATGTTTTTATCCTTTATCCTATGTTTGTATGATTGCGAGCAAAGGACGAATGCACAATTTCCTTTGGGATCAATAAAGTATATATCTATCTATCAAACGATTCCTGTCAAATCAAGCATTCTGTGATGCACCTGGACCAGTTTGAACCCCCAAACTCCAAAACTTTCATATAAATATTAGTCCAAGTTAATAGACATAGAGATTCTGCTTGGAGCTTTTTGCTTTGTTACAGATCCCTCCAGTAACAACTTCCTCCGCTGTGAAAGGGGCTATAGTTAAAAAACCCAAATTTGCTCATTCTACAGTCACATAGATTTATCCCCAGATACACAAGAACATGTAGGCAAGATTTGCAGTGTAATATTTCTTTGTGCAGATATAATTCCCACTTATAATCAGGGTAAATGCACTGTCAGAGGCCAACACTACAGGTCTTAAGGTATTAACGCCCGCTGTTTTAATAACTACTTGTATGATGATTACATATGCTACTGTAAGCTTTTACAACTTTACTTAAACACTGCTTATATTTTGCGGCAGATATGAAGAGAAACTGAAACAGTAGTTTTTAATGACAATATAAGTTTTTGTTTGTTGTTTATTTGCAGATGTAAATGAGTGTCAGAAACCTGGCATCTGTCCTAATGGTCGATGTGAAAACCTCCCTGGGACATACCGCTGTTTGTGTAATGAGGGTTTCCTTCCATCTGCGGACAGCAAAGGATGCAGTGGTCAGTAAATAATCCAAATCTAATCATCTTTTTTCTGCGCTTTGTGAAGTTTATACATACATTTGTATATCATTTCAGATATCAACGAGTGTGAGGATTCTCGACTCTGCGCCTATGGCCGTTGCATCAATACAGAGGGCTCGTTCCAGTGCCAGTGCTACCCTGGGTATCAGCGCACACAGGAAGGCAGCCACTGTGAAGGCATTAATATTTCACCTTTTCATAGGGATTGAATCAATATAGTGCAGAACTTCAGCTCTATACTTTGACTGCTCAGTTTGTGTGATTGTTTTTATCTTATTTTTACAGATATTAATGAGTGTGAGCGACCGTCGAACTGTCAGAGGGGACACTGCATTAACAGTATGGGTTCATATCACTGCGAATGCCCCAAAGGATTTACTCTGGTGGGAGGCAGGAGATGCCAAGGTCAGACCCTCAACAACTGATGGATATATAGAATGGCAGAGACTTTTTTTAATACTTTATACGACTTTAGTCATACTTTGTATGACAATAGTATAGTATAAGAATATAACTAAAAACAAATGTTTGCTTTGTATATTGATTATCTGTATGCCAATATTCAAACTAACATCAATAAGTACATTATTATATAATATTATTAAAAGCCAAATACACTGCCAAAAAGATATTAACTTTTGTTTTGGAAGTTTGTCTGTTTCTCAGATGGTGTTTGATTGAGGACTAACTCTCTTTACTTTGCATGAATTCACTTTCAGACATAGATGAGTGTGCTGCAGACCGGAGCTTGTGCCAGCCTTTCGGAGTCTGTGAGAACAGACCTGGCTCCTTTGTCTGTGTGTGCAATCACGGATATGTCCTGTCAGAAGACAAGCACAGCTGCGAGGGTAAGTATCTTGGTTTTATTAGCTCATCCCTGAGATTTATACCAAAGCTGAACACCCATACAAACAACAAGTACTTTTTACTTTACTTTTGAGCAAAAGTTTGCTATCAAGGAGAAGAAAACATCTCACCTGACATGCCCCCCTGGCGTTCGGGAAGATCTTTAAATAACTGTATAAATCTATCTTGATGTGATTAAAGTGCTGAGAATCAGTAGTTTTCATTGAATTAATAATGTATGTTAATATTGTCTATAAATCCATCTCGTATATCTGTTAATTGCCCCGTCCTTATGCAGCAGTCCGAGTGGTGACAGATGAGAAGAAAGAGTGCTATCTGAACTTGGATGACACAGTGTTCTGTGATAGTGTTTTGGCCACAAATGTCACCAAACAGGAGTGCTGCTGCTCAATTGGGGTTGGCTGGGGTGACCACTGTGAGATCTACCCCTGCCCTGTGTCTCATTCAGGTAAATTTGATTTTTAGATGTAGATTCCGTTTTAGTTCAAACTTGACAGAGACATTTTATGTTCTTCTTTCAGCGGAGTTCCACTTTTTATGCCCCAATGGTCAAGGTCTCTACTTTGAAGAAGGACTCCAGTACAGTTTACCTGTTTATCATGGTAAATAATTGAAAAGGATTCATTCATTGACAATAATTTTCCTCACAAAACACATGACACAATAACCCTAACTGTCTGAATGTTGTTTCTATTACAGATATTGATGAGTGTGCTCTGTTTGCTGAGGAAATCTGTAAAAAGGGTCGCTGTGAGAACACACTGCCTGGATATGAATGCTATTGTCAACAAGGGTTTTACTACGACAGCAATCTCCTTGAATGCATTGGCAAGTAGACATGTGGTCTTATCATATGAAAACTCAGTTTATTGTTTTGTTGTATTTGATGTATTTTTTATCCTGAAGACGTGAATGAATGCCATGATGAGTCCCTCTGTACAAACGGTCGCTGCGTCAACACTGATGGATCATTCTTCTGCAACTGTAACCTGCCCTGGACTCCTGATTCTAGCAAGAAAAACTGTGTCCTTAAAGCAGTAGCAGGTAATGAATTACTTCCATACAAAAGGTTTGCACTAATGTTTGTGCATGTTTGTTACTAATGACCGGCTGTGTTGTTGTTACCCAAGATTTGAACGAATGTCAAGATTCGGCCAACTGTAAGAATGGTCACTGTGTAGACACTCCGGGTTCGTACTACTGCATCTGCTCTCCCCCCTGGACCCTGGCCACGGACCGCAACAGCTGTGTGACCCCCGAAGAGCAGGCTGGTGAGCAACCACCACATCGACTGCACTTTGGTTTTCATTTGCAATGAGGAAGGAAATGGTGTTTGAACAACACTGTCAAATGAAACACAACTGATCAAGACATTTGTAAATTGGAGCAATAGCCTTAATTGGATGTAGTAATATTTTCTTTACAAACTGTAGGCAGCAACAAATCAAGTTAGATACTGAACATTTTTGCATGTTTTTGCATGTATAGTATTGAAAAACACTAATCATCAGCAATGTTATGATTAAAAATCCCCCTGCGGTTTATGACGTCAAGGCTATGGCAGATGGAGTCTTACAGGCTGACCCATTCCTTGTCTGATGTTAGAATCCTCCTTACTACAGTGGCAGGACTCACAGTGGACATTGTCGGGTGTTTAGATCTTAGCTGGCCCATGCAGATGTGACTGTAACCAGTGTCTGTGGTGCCCTTTGCAGATGTGAATGAGTGCCAGGACCCCTCGTACTGTAAGAATGGGAGGTGTGAGAACACGCCAGGCTCCTTTCACTGTTTTTGTGACCCTCCCTTCACCTTCAGTGCTGCTCAGAAACAGTGCGTCTATGACGGTGGGTAAAATCTGCCGTGTCAGCTCACACTGAGCATGACCAATAAAAAATCAATTGGCTTTTCATAAATGAAAAGGCAAACCTTTCCCAAATAGTCTTAAATTGTCACATTATAATTTGTGTTCAGTTACAAAACTCCCACTGCTAGCCCACTTTTTGATATGTGTTCCAGTTGTAGTTTTGTAGAAGGTTCATGTAACATTTTTGGATGTTGACACAGAAGCATCAGCCCAGAAATGATTTCTCAGAAATATTCTTCTAAATAAAACACAAAGGAACTATGAGCATGTTGTTCATGTGTAAACTGATTTTTTTTAAATTCTTCAGTTGTTACAGTTGTAACAGTTGTTACATGTTTTTTTTCATGTCTTTATCTTTTTGAAGTAGATCGCACAGCGGCACACAAAGACGTGTGTTTCCTCCAGGTGGATGAGGGTTTGATCTGCAGTGAACCCCGGAACGGGATGGTCACATATTCCGAGTGCTGCTGTCATTATGGCCGCGGGTGGGGTCCCGAGTGCAACACCTGCCCCCAGCGACACTCAGGTCAGTACCATCTCTTTGCCCTGAGGTTCGCTGTCTTTACGCCTCTAACAGTCTGAACTCTCATAGAGATGTTCAATCGCCTCTGTGAGATGCATCTGGAAACGGAGTCCGACGGAGAGCAGGACTTTTTGGCAGCTTTTGCCAACTACAACCCAGGTTTGTGACTTTATACATCACCTTTCTGAAGGCTTTCATTCAAATGTCTAAAAGTCTGCCTTTTGTGCTTATGAAGGAGACAGTTCTGAGGAAGACTCTGATGAATGTAGTTGTGCAAATGGGCGCTGTGTTCGTTCATATCTTGGTACCATGTGTGAATGTAACTCCGGCTTCAGGCTAGACCACTCCCGCACTCGCTGTACAGGTAAGCTGTCATCTTGAAGGTACAGCAATAAATCTGTTTGTGAGGTTTGTGAACTAAAATAAAAAATTGCCATATTATTTAATAATGTTGTCTGCATGCAGTGTTAAAAAGTAAGGAAAAAGTGGCTAATGGGCCAAAATTAAATCCATATTACAGCCAGCCACAAGAGGTCAGTAGAGTAAAGGATACATCACTTTATTGGTATGAGTGTTTTTGCACAGAGATCACTGTGCATTGCTATAAATAGTCTGGGTTCTTGTCTACTTAATCATTTCCCCAGTAACTTTGTTTTTTCAAAAGCTGAATTTTATTCTTTTATTCTACAACTCTCTATTAACCAGTTTGTAGTAATAGTAGTTCAGAATCTATCGAAATGTTTCCAAATTCCTGAGGTGTTTTTGCGTTCAACGCCTGTGGTCCTTTCTCTGTCCTTTAGACATTGATGAGTGCGGTGAGCCTGTCCGGCTCAGTCCATGCAAAAACGCACGCTGTGTGAACACTGTTGGCTCGTTCAAGTGCTACTGCAAACATGGTTTTGTGCCGACGCGACGACCCAACACCTGCATGCGCCGAAGGAGCCGGTAACCTCCAGGACTCGGCCACACTTCACAAACTGTAGCTGCATCTGCTGGGACCATTCAGGCAGTGAGAAATCATTGACGCGTGTTCATCTTCACGGACTGTACAGACTCATGACACAAGAGTTTGTTGATTTTGTAATTGTGTCTTTTGTGTTTTTAAAAAAAAGCTTTAAATATGCACTTTTGTATTTTTCTGTCATTGATTTGTTTTTGTTTTTTAAGCCATTCAATTGTTAAATCCACAAGACCAACTTTCTAATTTAATAGTATTTTCTTTTGCATCTATATTGTAAATTGCTTCATGCTTTAATTCAAAGTTTATCCCTAAGCTTTGTGTTGTAAAAGATGTACAGCACAGCTAAGCAGGTGTGTTTTGGTTTTGCATAATAATGGTCAAGCTGAAATTCTTTGTGGAGTTTTTCATAAGGTCATGCACTTGAAATGCCAGAAGAATTTGGTGTTTTTTGTAAATCCGTTTTGCCAGTTTGTGGTTGTTATGTCAAGATATTTACAAAACCAAACTGAATGTCTCAATAGAATGTTGTTGTCTGAGTTCTTTATTTTATTCAACCAATAAGGTTGGTGTTTCTTTGGTTGAAAGGGATTTGTACAAATCATATAACTTAGTCATCAGAGGAAGCACTTAGTTGATGGTATATTTGATTCATAAGAGAATGCAAAGTTTTGTCATTTCGTACAAGATATCAGATCAGATGTATCACGTCAGATATTTAAAGCCAGATCTCTACATTTTGGTGGTTGTTTCTCCATGCCCTGGTTTTATTATGTCACGTCATTATGTAAATTCAAATTGGAACAGCAGAGTGACCTCCAGTAACTAGTTCGCGAGAAAGAAGAGTGAAGAATGAAGGTGAGATTGATGTAAAAGCGGCACATCTCAGAAATAGCATGTTTGGCCTTGGAGATGGTTTGGTCTCAGAAAGAGAAGTATATAAATATCTTTTAGTAGGTCGCATTGACCGGACAATTGCTCAAGAGTGGTGACTGTACAATAAATGTCTAAAGGTAAAACATATGCTCACATTTTATACATGTCGTGATTATTTCCACATCACAATAGGGGTCTTCAGTGTCTTGAAAAAAGTTGTCATATCCCTGGAATATAAAATGCCAAACGGGTCAGTCTGTGTCCCAATAGATTGAGAAAGTTTATACGGAACTGTGACTGAGCAATTGTATCACATAAATACATTTTATATTATTCCATTGTAGGAAATTACTTTCTGTTTAAGGAAATCTTCCTGATGGGAAGGTAAAGCCCCACTACAGTTTCAAATCTTTTGCAGAACCAAACAGCTTTTCTTACAATATTGTCCTATGTTTTGCCACAACCACCTTTCCATCAACTCTGACTCTTTCCTGTGCCCGCTGACAAAAAACAGCCACTGCCAGGTTTTTCTCTTTGGTTCGTTGGACTTCATGATGCTGTTGACTGACCATTGTTCTTAAAATAACATCTGAATTTACACAGAACAGTTGTAAATACTGAAATTAGATAGTGGCTGTTAGGTAAACATTTAACAACAATCATGAGGCAATTTCTAAATGCATTTGGTTGCACTTAGAGCAGGGGTGGGCAATTTTTGTCATGGGGTGCTACATTAAGATATTGCCCCGTCTTTGAGGGCTGGGCCTGTTTGTATATGGTTAACTTTTAGTAAAAAGCTACTTCAAATTAGGCAAGGCAAGGCAAATTTATTTGTATGGCACAATTCAAATTGTGCAACTTCAGTTTGATGAATACACATATACATGTACACATCAAGGCATGCAGCAAACATAACTTCTTTGTGTGCAGGAAGCTATCACATAATCTCTCAGTTCATTAGCTGTTGCTATAAATTAAAGTAAGACGCATTTGTGATTCATTACATTGACTCTTGCTTGGCCTCCTGTCTGTTGCTTTTGGTGAAGAGCCGGGGGAGAGACTAACCTTTCCCAGAACTAAAGTCACATGATTCGGCTTTAGTATGGGGCATACCTCACTTTGCCCTGGGTAAAAATATTCTGATATGAAGGAACACTCTCACTTCACCAAATGCAAGGCTGTGGCTGCACTGGTTACACTTGTATTGACCCCCATTCCAGTCCGGTCTATAGTGAGCAGACAGAAGGGGGTTTATCCTAAACTGCTGTTATCTGCAGAAAGCACTGTGCTGGACTCACAGAGGCAGCCGATGGCATCTCCATATCCTGCGCTCAGCTCTTCCTTTTGTCACAGTGGATTGTGGGAGAGCTCTGCTCTGGGCAGCTGGGGCCCTGGGTGTAAACAGGTCGGGTGAGCAGTACTTATCTAAGGGCCAATCCAGAGGCAACTTTTCTGTATAAATCTACCACAATCTAAACAACACAATGATACTACTATAGATGGAATAAAGTCTGATCTGAAGAAAACAAACAAACCCTGGCCTGTGTGAAACCATACAGTCACTGATTTGGTCAAAGATCTACACATGGAAAAATGTTTGGCTTCTATTTTTCCTGAAGAGGCTTTATGCAACACAGTTGCAAGATCCACAGTGTTTTATGCAACACAGTGGATCTTGACACAGCTGAGATTTTTCATTACCACTAACTGCTCATAATGAATAGCATGCTCTGCTCAGAACTGCTCAACCCTCCCTAAAACACCATCATCTCCACTAGACTCTCACCACTAGCACTTTGTAGGAGCAGCTACGCCCATGCACAAAAGCACACAACCCCCAGCAGTAATTGGGGGCTTTGCAGATTTGGGGACCATAATCAAGACACTAATACTGTGACAGGGCCTCCCTTAATATTCAGTGGAAATAAACCACAATATCTTTGCCCATATGAGCAATAGATATGAGTGAAGATCTTGATTTATAAATAGCTTAACCTATATCCTATCCCTAAGGAATTATTTTGTCCATTGAAAGATGCTACTCAACTAATGGTCACTTTCAAAAGCTATTAAACAGGTAGGAGCACTTTTTCATAGCCTTGTCGTTTTTATAGGACACTACTGGTTAAGGTGTATGGCATGGTTATTTTATTGGTACTCAGAAAAGATGAAGAGTGACGGGATCTGAATAATTTTCCGCTTATCTATCTACTGTGTAGGCTATAAATAGTGTATTTGAACCATATGGACTGAAACGTGCCTTTGTCGAGTAATACAATTGATGCAACAAAACGCGGTATAAGTTACCTTTCAGATGGGCTAAGATAATAAAAAAAAAAATGATTCATGATGAGTGGTTGAAAATACAGTAATGTAACTGTGTCTATAATGACACTGCTTTAGCACCAGGGACAGCACCACGCACGCACGCACGCACGCACGCACGCACACACAAACAATCATCACGGCACCTCTCTCGGACATTAGTAATGATTTGTGGAAAACGTATTGCTGTTTTCCATGTGACTGCGAGCTCGGGTCAGTTCCAGGCAGCCACCCACCTTCCCACCTACCCACCCACCAGCGACCAGCCCATGCACACCTCCCGTGCGCCTCCACACACGCACGCACGCACACGCACATACATGCACCCGCACGCACACACACACCCACACACACACACACACACACACCCACTCTTTCTTTCTTTCCCTGTTGATCGCCGTTGTTTGCACGGTGAGAGCGAGTGAGCCAGTGGGAGCAGAGGAGGAGGAGTGTCCGACGAAGACGCTGGGCACACGGCGGGCCTCAATCACGGATGCTTCTGGGGAAAAAAATAAGAACAGAGGAGACGACGCAGCTGCAGATACCCATGATTCATACATAGATAAATACCTGCTGAAAAAGACCACCATATTTGCTCAGCCCATTTCACCCCCCAGTCCATTCATTTTCCTTTCGCAACGCCGTGGTTCATGGATGCGGATTGGACGAAGCCGCTTCAGTCACCTGGGATTTTGAACCATTTGAAATTAGCTTATTTTTGTAGCTAGCACGTCGGGATTTTTTCACGTGTGCCGACATTTTGGGGTATTATTTTACAAGTGCACCCTCTGAAACAGACCAAATAATCGGTAAGTGTTTATTTGAGTGGTTTCGATTCATTATTACACTCTCTAATAATAGCATCAAATGAAAGATGCTGCCATATTAGCTTCATCGCTACTAGCTCCTCGCAGCTCTCCATCGGAATAGAATATTTGTATGAACTGAATTGTCAATGGCGTGCTGAAATGCGTGCATATTTAACAGCTGCTGGTGGTGTCTGACTGCAATGTATGGTTGGTGAATCATCTGTCCATGGCTGCTTTTGTTTGTCCCTTGTCAAGCGAATCTGAGCACATACTGTAGTCGTCGTCTTGTATTCAGTCCATTACCACCTTTGTCTCTATAACGCGTTTCCATTTGATGAGGATGTTGTTGTAGGGACCGCTGCATCATCTCTTGTTTCCCCTCTATTCGTCATTATTGCGATGTTTTGAGAGAAATCTGGGTTTATATAAGTCAACGCAAGACTCGCCAGGTGGATTTGAAAACAGGTGGTTTGTAAACAACACTTCGCTATTTGCCACTATGTTTAATTTAGTAGGTTAATGGCTTGTGACCACGTGTGGAGTCGATGAGCCACAATGACCTGCTCACCCCAAGCCACTGTGGTGACTCTAAATGACAGTATTCAGCTCTGCAGCTCTGGGAAATGCTGGGGTTTGGCTCTGTACATGTTGGCACTGACATTTTGAGTAGTAGTTATGGTAATGGATGGTTATGCCAGGGAAAAACTCATTTGAAATGTTGAAGAGTGGTGGACAGCACGTGCTAACTTTGTTTGCATTTATATTGAAGTAGCTTGAGATCCACAAATCAGATAGCTGTATGCTCTTTGATAAAATAAAATGCATTAAAGCATGTAGCTGCCTTTATTAATTATTGTGAAAAGTCTAGGAACCTGATTGTTTATTTGTATTTCCTAACTACATTGTGTCATAAATGAGCTGCACGCCAACAATTCACTGTTATTTCAAAACAAATTATACAATTCTTAATACTCAGTTTTTCAGTTAATTAAAGCCTGATCCCATTTTAGATTGTGCCATTGCTTTGGCATATGAGTGTATTTGGTGCTATAACAGATGGTAAAATGAATAATAACAGTAGTTTTAATCAAGAATGTGTATGATTCAAAATGTTTTACAAAAATGTGTTGATGGTGCATCAGGAAGCCACCAGGGGGTGTTGTAACCCTCACACACGCATCATCTGTATTTAGTTTAGTTGAGTTACTAATAGTGAATGTGTAAAATATATAAAAATTGCACATGGCTTCCTGGCCTGACTGATTGATCGGATTGCAGTATATTGTGTACACACAGGAGTCCTGCTGGTTGGGTGATACTGAAGTCTGTCAGTGCAGATGAGCGTCTGTCTCTGCTTAAAGCCCAACAATGGAGAGGCACTGAATGTGCCCCCCAGAGTGCTGATTCTTCAAATCCCTTTCCAACAGATTCTTTCAATTGTTGCCACTCACACTCTTTGTGCTGCGATGACCCATAGCAATAACCCAGCAAATGGAACTGACTGTACAACACTGTTTTGAACAGTTTTTAATTGCACTCCGTGCTAAGTGTAAAGTGAACCTGTAACAGGGATTCAGAATTGACTAAACTAAGACAAACTAGTGCGTTGTCTTTTGTCACACTCTGAGCCCGTTGCAGAAGGGCAATAACTGCATTCTATTAATTCTTAACAAAAGTTTACTGGGATAAAGTTACAGCTTCTTTGCTTCCCGTTGAGCTCCAGCTCTCTTGTCTCAGGCAAAGACAAATACTGACAGTCTCTTTATTTTTTCATATTTGTTTAGCTGCATCAAAGGCTCTACAGTTTGCACAGTCAAATCTTGAAAATATACGTTTCAGACGTCTGTGTATAGGACGCTTGGGGCCATGGATGATAAAGGTTTAAACTATTGCTGTTACCATTGGAACTGTCAGTAGAGTATTAAGTGCACAATCTGACAGATGTGTTGTCAGCCTATCTGGCTGATGTGATGCTACATGCCGACAAAGGGCGACTGCCTCCCATTCAGACAGGATCAGTGCTGTGAGGGGCCTCTGATCAAGTGCATTGCTGCAAACAGGAAGCATTGACAACATGGCCCTGTGCTCTGCTGACTCTTTCATTGTATGGGCTGCTTTTTGTGGCACATGCCTTGACCATGAGTGTTGAATTCAAAGCATAGCCACACCAAGATGATTAGTTTAAATTGGGTTACGAGCAGTTTAGTGTTATTTACACTAGAGCTGCAACTAACGATTATTTTGTAATCGATTAATCTATCGATTATTTTTACGATTAATCGAGTAATTGCTTGGCTGTGAATTGTGTAGAAATGTTTTATTTTTTCATCACAAAAAGCTAAAGTGGCAACACTCGAGGACGTATTGATGGCGTAAACTTAAAGTAAATGTTTGTAACAGGCTCTTTGTGCTAATTCTGCTATATCTGATTGGATGAGACAGACAGATATTCATGAAATTATAAAAACAAAGTCGGTTTTAATCAAAAATACTACATTTTCATGTCATTTTTGCTCTGTTTGAGTCCGTATGAACCAGAAAACGATTAATCGATTACTAAAATAGTTGTCGTCTATTTCAATAATCGATTAGTCGTCGATTAATCGATTAGTTGTTTCAGCCCTAATTTACACCAGGCCTTATTACAGAGCGCTGTGCAGTGGTGTCCTGGTCATGTACAGGTCATTATTATCTGTGCCATGTGATGTGTTTCTGCTTAGAGAAATGTACAGGTTAGAATTGTGTCTGCAGTAGGCGCAGACAGCAGCCTTAGGCCTGTGTTTTCCGGGTCTGGCCCATGTGTGGTGGCCTAATTCCCTGTAGACAGTGATGGCGGTCTGTTAGTGAGTTTCCTCCTGATTAAGCTGCAGCTGGATGGTGGGAGGGAGAGGCTGGTGTCACTCTGCTGAGGCTGGCCTTAGCCCCGAGGCTGTGGCCCACTTCCACCCTGTTCAGTTTTGCACACACTTTCATGTCAAATCTAAAAAGACCCCTTCTCTTTTTGTGCTCGTGCGTAGACTCCATCTTCTTTTATTCTCTGTGAATTGAGCCATTGAGGTCAGTTTGCTTCACTGCTTATACAGGAATTTAAATGTCCGATGCTCCAACAAGACAAATGTCAATTTCTACTCGGCACACTTTGAAAGGAATTTTCAATTACTTTCTAATTGTTATTTAAGGAATCATGATCATAGAATGGCCATGACAAATGTGTACTCACATGTACGTGTGTAGAATTTGGAGGGAAGACAAACAATGGGGCCAGTGTACATAGCAGTGAATTGGTCTGATGATGTTGGGACTTCTTTCTTATTTATTCATATTTTCAGCAGACGCGTCATTCATTTAGAAATCCAACGCTTTTGTGTGTTTCACTTAATTTAATTGATCACTTTATGTGTGATAATACTGTATTATGTTGACAAATTGCCTGCACACCTGTATTGTATAGGCTTGCTCTAACAGAAAAGAGCTGGCTCTTGTCACTCTGAGATCATCTAAAGACCGCAGCTGCATAGTGCAGTGTGACAGCAGGTCAAGGGATTGCTGGTTGAACGCATACAACAGTGATTAGCACAGATACTGATCTGTGCTTGTGCTCCTCACACTGAGAGGTCCCCTGATTCAGCCGTCCTGACCCCTGACTCAGTCTGAGACAGGAAGACCTAAAGCCTGTGAGCTTGTCCTAAAGCATTATCAAAGCCATAAAGGATCTCACTGCATGCTCTATTTTTAAGTGGCCCAAATGTCCGAAGAACCCTGAAGAGTAATTACTGAAATGTTTACAAGGATTTTCCATAAAGAATATGCAGAAGCATTGTAGCATGTAGTTTTTTTCAATGTTCTAATTATGAGGGATGTACCACGTCGATATTGGCATCAATCATGTATCGGTTCAGCTGTAATTTTGATGTAATCAGAATAATTTTTATTGCCATGTAAGTAACAGGAAGTCGCAGACTAGGAAACTGCTTTTGCTCTCGGTGCAATTGTCAAGGAAAAGATTCTACATCTACAAGGCATAGTAAAAATCATTTATACCTTAGAAGTGTATGCTGATAAGTATTTACTGGCTGATTGAAACCCAGAATAGCATAGTTTTCACTTGAATGCAGATTGAATTAACAGAACTAGCAGGATAAAGTAAAACAAAAGATGGATTGCTACATCCCTACATCAAGTATGTTACTGTTTACACATTGAAGTTGGGGTGTCCATGTGACTGGAGGTGATTGGTCATGGAGCCTATGTCATCCGGTCTTTTTTCTCTAATCCTGCATTGAGTTTCTATTCTTGGGCACTTCTTAATCTGACACTACTGTAATAGGATTTACAACACTTGTTTTTATTTTTTGATAGAACGACCCAAAGCAGAAGAAAGGGTAGTTTTTTCTTATATTTTTATCTGTGTTATTTTGTAATTTGTAGATCATACATTTGAATCTGGTCTGTTTCCAGGTCTGATGTCAAAGCCAAATACTGTCTTTTACAAATTACAGAGCATTTAGTTTCCTCTTTCTGAGACGTTTTTGGAACCCTCTCACTCAGAGGCAGTTAATAACCTACTGGATCTGCCTTCATTGGCTACTCCCCATTTCCATATGTTTCAGACGATATGGCTAGACGTAACAGATCATCTCACAGGTATTAGCAAACTGAGGACTCAATCTGAACATTAATCTGGTCAAGGCTTTTAATGGGGTGCTCCAGTGGGGTTATAATCTAAATCTAGACCCCCTGGTGGAGTGTAGGCAGAATCCGAGACACAGACACACTCTTGTCTGGCAGTGGCTAATATTACTATAGGTTTTTGTTCTGTAGTTATCATCATTATCTCAATTTCACCTCAATTGCCATCTCAGAATGAACATTGGACATTTTAGATGTCATGCTGTGGTTTTCTTTGGTTCTTGTGCATCAGTCGTAATTTAATTTTCTTTGTGATGTTCAATGTTGCTGCTTGTTGCATGCGATATAGTCTAGAAAATACATGCATTGGGGTGTAACATTTATGGATACACAATTTTCTTCAACAATGATTCAAATCAATGTATTGTTCAATATTGGATGACTGTACGGTTTGGGCCTCTATATTTATCTGTATTTGCTTTTTAATATGGTCAAGTTTTAGGTGTAGAGTGCACAGAATACAGAATACTGTAATTGAATTTTATGGGTCAATATTACTTCATTCTATTGTTTGCCTCAACTTTTGAGATTTTTTTTTTTAACGTTATTATTGTTTATTGCTCTGTTTAGCTATATTGTCTATCCATATGTGCTGTTGTGACAGGCCTAGATATGGTATCATTGTGTAGAGTGAGACCACCAAGTTTATTGTAAATGAAGATACCGTTGAAGAATTACTACTAGTATTACCATTCTGTATTAGTTTGGAAAGTGTACTGACCCCTGGAGAAATTGAACTGTACCCAGCCCTTATAATAAGGCAGTAAGATTTGAGGTTTAGTTTAACCAAATATGAACTTATCTCTAGGGTGTTATCACAAGTAATTTCCCCGTTAGCAGCAGCTGAACTTGAGCGCTGATGCATTTTGTTGTGTTTTAGGTTGAATGCGTTTCTCTGGAGCACCATGAGCACCATCTCCCCCACAGACTTCGACAACCTGGAGATCCAGCAGCAGTACAATGACATCAACAACCGCTGGGACTTGGCCGCAGAGACGGACTGGGACAATGAGAACAGCTCGGCTCGCCTCTTTGAACGCTCACGCATCAAGGCACTGGCTGGTAAGCCACACGCACACACTAAGGAAACATGATAGAAATGTGATACCGATAATGTGTTGCAATAGTAATTCTCAGGGGGAGATGGCAAATAGCATGTACACTTTCAATGCCAGCGTGCAAAAAAAAACATATCCACAACAAACATGGTGTTCCATGGTGGAAGATGACATGATGAGCATGGCACACAATGGAAACACATGTGAATTATATGTGGGTGTACAGGGGAGATCCATGGGTGGGCAGACAGTGTGCGCTGAGGCAGAAGATGTAGACAACAAGCCCGGGAGCAGGAGGCTTCTTCACAGTGCTCCTAATACTCAACCTTGGTACTGCACTATTGCTATGTATTCATAGTTTCCTTGGATATGCATAAAAAAGAAACACGCTCATTCGTATCCATATGCATATGTATATATATCTATATGTATATAGAGTATGAAAGAGTCTTTATGCTGCATGTATTAAACACAATTTATTTATTCCATTTAAATTACATTTAAATCACAAAGTGAACTCTAAGGTTCATGCAGCAGCACTCTAATTGAGTTCAGTGATTTTAGATGAAACTTAATTTTGGTCTGTCCCAAAAGAGCAGGACAGAAATACTTGAAAATGAGGACAAGGCCTCAAAGCTTAGCACTGATGATTGCAGTTCTGTAGCTCGCCCATCTCGGTGAAACTGCGAGAGTTCAGCTTGGTCTTTGGTTTTAAATTCTCTAATTCAACTTTCACATATCTTCAGGGTAGGTTTTATTTTTATTATTCCAAGAAAGTCCAAAGTAAGGTAGTTTCCAGTGTATCCAACAGAGGGCAGCATTACACAGCCATGCACTGAACTCTAACTGTACGGGATCTTTGAGCACCACTAGACTAAAATCACCACAAGATTAAGCTCATTTTACTTCCAAATACTTAAGTAAACACTGGCTTGAGTTAACCGGATGCACAGCTTTTTTTTTTTTACATAAGCGTAGAAGTATTGTAGGCCTGTAGAAAACTTGAGTGTGTCCCGTTTTTTGTGTACGTTAATTCTATGGGACAAGTTGCCGTGAATACCTGTGATTCCACCGGCGCGGGACAAGTGTAGACCTGACGTACACATTCTTGAACGTGCCTCTACGGCTTGTTGCCCCAGGGAACACCTCCACCACCTCTTCCACTTCTATCTAAACGTCAGGACCCTGTGTGTGTCATAAGCTAATGCTGCACATCACACTTTCTCAACTATTCCTTAAGATTGTTTCACTTCCAACTTTTTTGCTCATTCAAACTCCAATCCAGCTTTTGACATACTTGAAACTTAAAAGAGATTATTATAAACTGAAACTTGCTGAACTTAAACTTTTATGTTCAAAATATTCCGCAGAGGTTTATTTTGGGTCAGTGAAAGCTTGATAAATTATTAATATGTTTTTCACATCATCTCAGTTAATTGAATGTTTAAACTTGTAAAATTCCAAGTCCATACCATACAAAGTAATAAAAGTTTTCCTCATGAGCCTTTGATCTTATAGGTAGTGAGTTGGCTCTCATTAGTCCAGTCCACTTCTGTAAAATACCTTGTTAGGTGAAGCCCAGGGCGTTTGTCCGTCTAATGAGGACCACCAAGACGCTCTTGGGCCATCATGAACACACATGAAAAACCTTTGGAGATTTTATTGAACACCCCATGGCAGTTCTCCCCATCCCTTCAAAAGACAGTACTTGTATGACCTTGAGTGATTAAAATGTTCTCACAGATTTAATCATTGTGATTTCGCCAACTGCTATCAATGCCACACTCACACTCAAGATTTACCCTCTAGTTGTGGCAGGAAAGAGATACTGTTGGGGCTCCTCTATGACTTCCTTCCTGTATGCCACTCATGTTGTTGACAGTAAAAACTGCTGTAAGTGTGAACTCTTGATTGTGTAATATGACAGTCTAAAGATGTACGTTCTGTTAGGCCACTCCCTGATGCTCCCAGGAATTAAGAAGAGTAGAGTAATCCTCCTGAAGCTATAGCGAGAGAAGAGCTCTAATGGTTTAGTCCACCTCCACACCTCCTCCCCCACTGTCTCTTCAGTCGCCTTGTGTGCGCTCCTCCCTTAACACACCTTATGCAAATGGTACCATTTTCAGTGGGCCCAGCAGGCTTTGTTTACACAGCCATCCGACCGCAGCCAGTTAGCTGCTCTGCTCCTGCATTTGGAGGGAAGAAGTCGACTGCTCCTACAAGGACCACGAGGGAGTGTGACCACAAGTTTTTGACTCCAGTCAGAAGCCACAAGTGTTGTGCCCTTTTACGCAAGAGGAGGTGTATCAGAACATTTTGTTCATTTTAATTTAAGTTTTTGAATCTGACCTTCCACGCCTGTGCTTCGAGCTGTGTTTTCATTGGATAAATTTGGACATGCAGTAAAGAAAAAAGGAGAGCCGGCAACATTTTCAAGACCATACTGTTTCTCACAACTCAAAGAAGGAGATAAACTTGGACGTAATTTTGTCTTTGAGACCTCTTGGTCCTAAAAGGTTGCGTTTGCTGAGCTATGCTGGATTTATCCCCATTCATTTAACTATTATACTATTAGAAAACATGGAGTGGGAGCACAGGGAGAGGGAGCCCTGTCTCTCCCCAGCAGCGTTTGTTAACCAGGTGCAATACTCCAACATCTTGGAGGGCCGCTTTAAACAGTTGCAAGGTAAGAGCTGCACCGGCCTCTTGCTTCTATACATTAAGTTAAGACAACACTGGATTCAGTTCCAGGGTTTCAATACTTTTAAGTTTCCTTTTCATGTGGCTCACACGTGTCCCTAATATTAGCAGATTATAAGAAACGCTAGAGCCAACATCTGATCGATGTACTAAAGCAGCAGGTAAAAGGGTTGTTGTTATACTCTAAGTACTGTATAGTGTAGTTAAAATGTATATACTGTAACGTGAGTGCTTCAGAACTACTCTAGGGCAGGTGGAGGTCTGGCACCTGATCACAGGCCACCTGTCCTTTATCTTATTACAATGCATGGCTCTGTGTCTCCACATGGCCTCGTCTCTCCAGGTAAAGTACACAACAAATCATTAATGGTTGACCTATGATGGTGGAGGTGGCCTATATAATCACAACCAGAAAGGCACATTGTGTGCACACAACTTCTACTCCAACTTTAACACAACACGGTGCAAGTTATTACATTTGTCTACAAACACATCAATGAATTATACAAAGCTAGTAAACTTGTTGTTTAATGTCCCGCTCTAAGTCTTAACACTCTTTAGGACATTGAGGTGTTTGAGGTGGTGCACTGTGCCAGCTCTTCACGTCGTCCTACAACAAGCTCTGACATCCGGTCCCTCCCTGACAGTCTGGGACTGTTTCAGTCATGATACTGTCCACATATTTCAGATTCTTTTAGAAAAAATATACTAGTCTATTGGATATTATCACATTTTCACTTTTTATAATTGCTGCTTTTTGTATTTGCTTGTAATTAAATATATACAAAGCAAGTATTTCCCCAACCTAATACTATACATGATAAACTTCTTTTCAATTGAAAGGCACAGTTGACATTACTATTACAACAGCAATAGAAAAATCATCTAGTAAAAGTTTGTGAGTTTTAGGCAAGTTTAGTGTAATCGACTCAAAGATCACAGAGCAAGTCTGTCTTTAAAGTCCATTTTATTTATATATTACTGTCATGACTGTGTGCGCTATCGCAGACACAAACACCTTTTTGGCAACAGCTCCTTGTATTTCCAGTTTGACATGCCTTGAGGCTCATTCTTTTTGTCACTCCCTCATGTATTAAATCATGACTTCAGTCACAGTCATGTGATAAAGGAAAAATGTGACAACATTCATTGAAATAGTGTTAAAATATTCTTCTGACGTCATTGTGTCCCTGGACAAAATTTTAAAATTCAGTTACAATATTCTCAATTAACGTTTCATCTTATATTGCAGTACTATTACCGTAATAAACACACTCACACTTTCAATATATGTATTGCACAAAAATCTTTGAAACATGTGTGTACTATAAACTGGCTGCAACTGATAAAACCTGACTTGTTCTTGTTGTCTTCTATGGAAATATTCATGCATTGGCAATGATCTTCCATTTGACATAAAACATAACCGAAGATATTATTCAGGTGACTTTTTGATTCCACCAGAATATCACGTACTACTGCTTTAATTTAGCATATCATGACTATCTGCTCATTGCACAATCACTTCTCAAGGATATGTCCAATAATACTTTCTCTTATCCTAAGCTAAAGCAGGAAAGGGGGGGCCGGATTGGGCAGAAGATAATTTCCTGGTTAATATATAAATGATAGTGTAAACTGGGTATTGCGGCAGGCCACCTCCAGAGGGTCACTGTCCGAGCTTCCACAGACCTCTGATTCAGCCTCTATGGACTTTGGAATGAAATGTCAGTCTGGTTTACTCAACCAGAATAAACTGTATGTACCACTGTTCATAGCCCCCATAAACCCTGCAATTATTGAAACAATTACAGATTTGTCTGTTTTATAACCTTTTCACAGGCAATATTAATATTTTACTTTTTTAAATTAGAAATTAACCACTGCCAATGCATTGGTTAACTAAGACTTAAATCTGTTGCTTTAACTCAAGTTCTTTCCTCTTAGACTGAAGCTGAGGTCACTGATGCGTTTTGGGTCAAGTTCCTCTGAACTGTATCATGTAACTGAATATCACCGACACCAGTGAAAGCTGTGGCTCTGTGGCCTCCAGCTGTAACTCAGTCACATTACCCACAGTTCATTGTGTACACACACAAACTCACACAAATGGCTTTTTAAGGGTGTGTTTGTACAGTTCTACCAATATTGACTGGTTTAGAAGTCACAAGAAGGTGCAGCTTTTGGAGGGGTCACGGCGAGTACTGTACTGTTGACAGCTGACACTATTTGGTCTGCAGATGTTGTGGCTAAAAAGAGTTTCAATTGTGTCTCATGGGACTAGCCTTGGGCTCCTCTCCACTGTCTTCTGCTTTATCAGCAGCCGCTGCATTTTGTGCAGAGGATAATAACCTGTTACATGCACTGAAAGAAAAAAACGGCAAAAAAATAATGCTCCTATTTGGAAATTTGCACCCTTTTCTATCGCAACCTGTTCCTTTTCATTACTTCCCCTCAGCCAAACAGGGGGGAGCAGGGACACAACTACAGTTTGCCTCTTAATGTATGTTCAATTTGTTGAAGTTAACCCCAGTTTCAATTCCCAAGTTCATTGCATTTATTCTATGTATTGTTAAAGCCATAGATACAAATCACTTAAGTTGATTTGGTATTTTGCAAACAAAAGTAAAAATGTATACATGCAACTATACTAGTGGCTTGCAAGCTAAATCTTTCTTGGCAAGAACCCTTAACTCAAGGCCATAGATAAGTGTAATATGCACAAGGATGTTTTATCCTTCTTGTTGAGGACAGGGTGACCAGAGTCTGCAAACTCATGGGGGTGTGAGATCTGAGGAGTTTGTGGACTCAAACATTCCAAAATAGTTCCAAAGGGTTGCAGCTTATGACCTGGGTAAGTGACTGAAGGGGTTTCTAGTTAGCAGCTCATGGATTTTCTTTTATCTTTGTCACTAAAAACGACTACTCTTCCAATAAACTAGACTCTGTCTGCAGAATACATTATTCCTGTGAAAGTGCAGTCTACATTAATCTTTTTATAGAAGACTTTGCTGAGGTTTGCAGAGCGCTGTCATGCAACACACTGGAAAAAGTGTGATATTATTTCTCTTTGATAGAGTGGTGAATCTGTCATGAAGCATGAGCAATTACATGAGCTGATGACAGTTTTATACACACACATCTTTTTTGGTTCTGGAACAATGGGAAAGATTGCATTTACGTGACTCCTAGTAATGTTATGACTGACTTTGCCTGAGCTGCTGTATACCACACAACAAGATTAAGTCTGTGGCATATTTTCTGAGATTACCTGAAGATCCCCTTTTTTCCTCTTCCCCTAAATCTCCCAGGACCAACGAAACTTAAAGCATCTAGTAACCATGAATTTTTAAGACCTGTTGAAATCATCTCCCAGTATTTGATGATAAAATAGACGATACAGCACAGATCCCAGGTCTGTCTGTCTGTCACAAAATATGGGATTATACTCTTCATAGCTTAACAATAATTAGAGACCTTGCATCTGTAGATATCTTCCCACTGTCCTGTGTTTTATCGCTTGTGTCAGAGGGAAACAATGTTGGCATGTTCTTCCGGTGTTTTCAGACGACATAAATGGCTGTTTCTCTCATTGGTTTGGGCCCTCACCCTGAAGGAGACGTAAGCCTAATGTGATAACGGGAATTCACCCAGCGCAGCTACAACTAAACACCTCATTATTTTCCACAGCGTTGTGCTTATCTATCTCTGTGTCCGGTGAAGCTTGTGTTTGGTATAACGAGTAAACATGTCTGACGCCAACACTGTGTTTACCTACTGTTGTTGTGCAGTAGCCTTGTCATTAAGGACACTTCAACACCAGGAGCATGTTTAGTGACCAGTGCTCTTTGTATCCTACCTGGTGGTTGGGCTCTCCTGACATGACCAACATAATAATACATCCTGAACCTTCACCCAACACATCATAACATTCATTGTTAATAAACACATGCAAATCATTTCAGGTCACTAAAGACTCTTGAAGTACTACCCACTAGCTTTACTGTATGGTATGTAATATTTCTTCATGCCCGCCTGCAGTTGGAAGTTTCAAAATCTTTTAACTGTCACAGTCAATTACTCGTGTCACAACTCAGGGGTGTGTTGAAACGACACGATTACACAAAAATAGACTTGTTTGTGCGTTATCAGCAGCATTTTTTTCTCTGATCCATTCATCCTAACCATGATTATCTTATTAGCAGCCACAGGAAGGACTTTGTTTAGTTCAACTCATTAACCAAAGCATCTCATGATCTATTTACTGTCAGATCCTGGGTTTGTGTACAGCACAGTGCATTAAGCACCTCGCTTCACCAATCGTCTTTTAAACGGTAGAAGACTTGTGTCCTAGAAATGAGGTCACCTTGTTAGGTGGCAGCGTGGGATTAGCTTCTTACTCCCCTGGTCCATATGTCTGAGCTGCTGTTAACAGCTTAATTTATAGTACCTCTTTTTAGTTCTTAATACTGTGGAAAATCTTCACACTTATGGGAATTTTTTTGCACAGTCATTTCTTTTTTGTATGCCACTGATGGGCATTGAATTCAAAAGCACTGCACTGAGATTGGTTTTATTAAGATGCTTGTTGTGTGTTTGATAAAGGCAGTCTATTGTGACGGTTAGCTTTATCAGTGCGAGTTTGATTTACTTAATCTGACTGACATGTTTCTTTTTCCATTCGAATGAATAGAAAATTTAATTTACCTACTGGGTGGTGTCATTCTCTGCTTTTTTGATCATCTGTGACTGAGCCTACATTTTTTGTGTGTTTTACAGATGAGCGTGAAGCGGTTCAAAAGAAAACCTTCACTAAATGGGTAAACTCTCACTTGGGCAGAGTCACCTGTCGCATCGGTGACTTGTACACAGACCTGCGGGACGGCCGCATGCTGATCCGTCTGCTGGAAGTGCTGTCAGGAGAACAACTGGTCAGTGTCCCTCAGGAAACCTTTTAACTTCCCCTTTCATGACCTGCACTATAGTACATGCTCCATCAGCTTATTTCAGGCATGTGACATTAGTGTGACTTGACACATACTGTAGAAGTGTACTGTTTGCGCTGAGATTAAAATTTTAATGAATAGATTATTTGTTAAATTGGTAGTGAAAACTACATGCAGCACTTGTTTCCTCATGGTGCCCACACTGAAACCTGATTTTGCAATTGCATTTTAATTTCCCTAGAATTACTTGAGCTGCAGGCCTGATTTTCATGTGGCAGTAGTTACTGTTTATATAGTGATTAAGTATTCTTTCAATTATTACCTTCGATTTATCTTGTCACTGGTCGATCTATTGCACTTAAAGAGCGACTAAACACCTGTGCCCAGCCTTACTCCGCCCACATGAAGATTTGAAAATGTTCTCTAAAAAGGGCGTTGCCTGGAGGACCAAGGGACAAGAAGGGGGGCTTAGAGTTGGGCGTGGTCTGGGCTGTGATTGACAGCTCACTTGTCACACAAAAAAAAACAGACAGTTGTCATTGCTGCTTAAAGCAATAGTTAACAGACCAGAAAGTCTTATTCCACCCTTGTTTACACACTAAGATAATTGTAAAGCTTCACACCTGAACATAATCACATTTAATAATCTCAGAATGACTCGTGTAATTTAATTTCAATCCACTAGATGGCGCCAGAATACTCCAAACTGCAGCTGGGGCGTGTGTGAGAATTGAATGGGTTCACATCACTGGCTCTGACAGACTGACGTCACACAAAACAACTGATGTCATAGAGAACTTCAGAGTCAATGGAGAGGCCAGAACCAAATTCAAATGTAGTACCACCAAAAAGGTTGAGAGGGCACCACACAGCGTTTTTTGGCTCAAAAGTGATATTTTATCTAATTTGAACTAAAATGTCAAAAAAATGACCAGGATATGTAGACAGCACTACAATAAACATACTTATGCAGTTTATGAGTTAAAAAAAGTTGATTTGGTGTTTAGTCGCTCTTTAATATTCAGTTAAAGTGATAGTCTGCAACTCTAAATGAATTACAAATTTTAAGAATTTTATTAAATTGACCTCCTGGCCTTAAAAGTTGATATAAAATAAGTCATTTTATTAATTCTAATATTACGGGCAAGTCCCGCCTTCCCTTCTCTTAGCTATAGCTCAGAATCCACGGTGCCGTCCACGTTAACCAATCGAGTGATGCCAAGGGCTTTCAATCATCAGCGCTGATGCTCGTAGCTGCTCATGCTCAGTTGTTTGTTTTCGCGGAGCCTCCGAATCAAGCCTCCTTTAGGCTCTAAACTACATGAAAACTGAACAAAGAATTCTGAACATCCGCGCTGAGGTACTCATTTATATACTGAACCTATATCTATAATCGTTTATATACTGAACCTATATCTATAATCGGATCCTCTGCAGATGTGTCCTATAATGTGCAGTTCATGATAATAGCTTCTTCCGGGTTTGCCGCGATCGCTTTTTTTGTGCATAAAAACATTATTTTTGTCATTAAAACGTTAACAAATAATTCTGAAAACCTACGTGCATGTGTATTAATAATGTATGTGTATAATAATAATGTATAATGTCATATGTTAAATGTTCTCTGATTAACATTTAAAAGTGTTACGGAAATGTAGGTGTAGATCAATCAGAAAGGAAGGGGAAGGGAGCTTGCGTCGTTTTTTTTTTCAAATCAAGTACCTCTCTGTCTCTCTTTCTGACAAACTCCAGACAATCGCTTTAAGGATAAAAAAGATTTATGTTATAGAACATTTCTCTTAGAAACTTTTTGATTGCTTTATATAGCAGTGTTGCCCACATACAGAACATAGAGTGCCGAAATTAGTTCTCTGTGCTTGATGAACAGTTTAACATGGTTTTAAGCCCAAAAATTAGAATGGACTAGCGAATGGACTAGAAGCTAACCAGTGCTATGCCCGGTCAGTGCTGTGCTGTACTGTTAGACCATCGGAAATACCCGGTGCCACCATGGACTGAGCTGGTGTGACCCCCGTACTGTTTGCTTTAGGTTTGGCTTGGTGCTTCTAGGATAATGATTGGGACAATCTTGCATATTTCCGAAAGTTTGTCTCATCGCCAATCCCAAGCAAAGGGCGACGCACAAGACTCCTGCTTCAAACTGGTATCTTGGACAGTGGCAGTCGCTCAGGGACATGATTGTTATTGTCTGTTCTTATTTATCTTATCTGGAGACCATTGAAATAAAAACAATCATTTGGTGCACTAAAACCTGGGCATTTGAAGCCCAGAATTGTCTAACCGCAGCCGAAAAATAAGTTTTATTTCTAATGCATTTTACTGTGCAAACAGACTTCCTGTCACCAATATTTGCCCATGCGCACTTCCTTTTTGGCATTCGGTAGCTAGCTGGCTTTGTTCACTTCTATAGTTTATCTCTGCAATCGAGTGTATCAGATCTCACTTCAATGAACTATCAGCTTATTTATCTAAACTAGTGAAAGTTCCTGTTCAACTTTAGTGGTGTATTTAGGCCACAGACACGTTTTCTCCAATTTTAAGGAGAAAATTTGGTGCAAACTAACTCACTCATATGGTGCGAGTGTCCTTATTAGTGCTGTTTAAAACTGAGGTTTTATTGATTGACTGCGGAACCTTCCGCAGTCAACCATTGGTTTTCACGTTCTTTATTATTATTCCGTCTTTTTCCTGATTTTTGACACGTTTCACAGCTTTCACATTTTCAACGATTTCCACAAGTTATACATCAAAACGTTCCACATGTTTGGGAGATTATTGCTATTACTTTTGGGACTTCAGCGATTTCCGGTTTTTCCGCAATCGGACAAAAATTGGTCGATTTTTCCCATTGACTTATAATGGGGCTTCCACAAAATCATAGTTTTCAGAATTTTCTTCAACATTTTCAGCATTTTCTGCAGTTTGTGCATGTTCAGCTTCCACAACTTGTGAGTTTTCAGAAAAAACTAGAAACTTGCAATGGCTGAAGCCATTGCGATTGACTGCGGAACAGATCTAATGTGGAAATCTGCTAAAAAAAATCCTTGAAATCCTTTAAAAGGCCTTGAAACTGTTAAAATACTTGATAGATATTTGAAACTCCTGAAGTCCTTGAAATTGTTGAAACCTTTAAACTCCTGAAATCCTTGAAACTGTTGAAACATTGAAACTCCTGAAATCCTTGAAACTTTTTTTTAAACCTGGAAACTGTTGAAAGTGTGGAAACTCCTGAAATCCTTGAACCTCCTGATATCCTTGAAACTGGTTAAATTCTTAAACAGTTGAAATCCTTGAAACTACTGAATGTATTGAAAGTGTCCTTGAAACTGAAAAATCCCCTCACCGCTGAAACAATTTGGTTCCTGTAACTAAGGAAACCTGGTCTGTGGTCATTATCTGGTGGTGGTCTGAGTCTTCGTTTGGGTCTTGGTCTGGTGGTATAATGCAACCTATTAGGTTGCATTATACTGGTTTACATGGAAAAATCCCTATTAGGTTGCATTATACTGGTTTACATGGAAAAATCCCTATTAGGTTGCATTATACTGGTTTACATGGAAAAATCCCTATTAAGTTGCATTATACTGGTTTACATGTAAAAACCCCTATTAAGTTCCATTATACTGGTTTACATGTAAAAACCCCTATTAAGTTCCATTATACTGGTTTACATGTAAAAACCCTATTAAGTTGCATTATACTGGTTTACATGGAAAAAACCCTATTAAGTTGCATTATACTGGTTTACATGGAAAAATCCCTATTAAGTTCCATTATACTGGTTTACATGTAAAAACCCTATTAAGTTGCATTATACTGGTTTACATGAAAAAAACCCTATTAAGTTGCATTATACTGGTTTACATGGAAAAATCCCTATTAAGTTGCATTAATACTGGTTTACATGGAAAAATCCCCATTAAGTTGCATTATACTGGTTTACATGTAAAAAACCCTATTAAGTTGCATTATACTGGTTTACATGGAAAAAATCCCTATTAAGTTGCATTGTACTGGTTTACATGGAAAAAACCCTATTAAGTTGCATTATACTGGTTTACATGGAAAAAACCCTATTAAGTTGCATTATACTGGTTTACATGGAAAAAACCCTATTAAGTTGCATTATACTGGTTTACATGTAAAAACCCCTATTAAGTTGCATTATACTGGTTTACATGGAAAAATCCCCATTAAGTTGCATTATACTGGTTTACATGAAAAAAAACCCTATTAAGTTGCATTATACTGGTTTACATGAAAAAACCCTATTAAGTTGCATTATACTGGTTTACATGAAAAAACCCTATTAAGTTGCATTATACTGGTTTACATGGAAAAATCCCTATTAAGTTGCATAATACTGGTTTACATGGAAAAAATCCCCATTAAGTTGCATTATACTGGTTTACATGTAAAAAACCCTATTAAGTTGCATTATACTGGTTTACATGGAAAAATCCCTATTAAGTTGCATTGTACTGGTTTACATGGAAAAAACCCTATTAAGTTGCATTATACTGGTTTACATGGAAAAAACCCTATTAAGTTGCATTATACTGGTTTACATGGAAAAAACCCTATTAAGTTGCATTATACTGGTTTACATGTAAAAACCCCTATTAAGTTGCATTATACTGGTTTACATGGAAAAAATCCCCATTAAGTTGCATTATACTGGGTTTACATGAAAAAAACCCTATTAAGTTGCATTATACTGGTTTACATGGAAAAAACCCTGTTGCATTATACTGGTTTACATGGAAAAATCCCTATTAAGTTGCATTATACTGGTTTACATGGAAAAATCCCTATTAGGTTGCATGATTACACTGAAGTCCTTGAAACTGCTGAAGTCCTTGAAACTGCTGAAGTCCTTGAAACTGCTGAAGTCCTTGAAACTGTTGAAGTCCTTGAAACTCTTGAAATCTTGAAACTGCTGAAATCCTTGAAACTGTTGAATCCTTGAAACTGTTGAATCATTGAAACTG